GGTGGGTATACACTGTGAAATATAAACCAGATGGTGAAATTGAACGTTTTAAAGCAAGATTGGTAGCAAAAGGATATACTCAAGCCTATGGGATTGACTACACTGAGACATTTGCACCAGTAGCTAAAATCAATACTGTTCGAGTGTTGTTGTCCTTAGCTGCAAATTTGGACTGGCCCCTACAACAATTTGATGTAAAAAATGCCTTTCTACATGGAGAACTGATAGAAGAAGTTTATATGGACCTTCCGTCTGGGTGTAACAAGTTAGAAAGACATGCCCAAAAGGTGTGTAAATTGAAGAAGTCATTATATGGACTGAAGCAATCTCCAAGAGCATGGTTTGGAAGATTTACAAAATCCATGATAGCTTGTGGATACGTCCAAAGCAACTCTGATCATACTTTGTTTTTAAAGAAACAACAAGGTAAGATTACAGCCCTTATCATATATGTAGATGACATGGTGGTTACCGGGAATGATCCAGAAGAACGGAAAGCATTGCAAGAGTACTTGTCTAGAGAATTTGAAATGAAAGATCTTGGTTCCTTGAAGTATTTTCTCGGGATTGAAGTATCTAGATCCAAGAAAGGTATTTTCTTATCTCAAAGAAAATATGCATTGGACTTGTTGCAGGAGACTGGTATGTCAGCATGTCAACCAGTTGCTTCACCAATGGAGGAAGGCTCGAAGTTACACAATATAACAGATCAAGTTCCATGTGATAAAGGTATGTATCAAAGGCTTGTGGGAAAATTAATGTATTTAGCTCACACAAGACCAGACCTTGCCTACGCATTAAGTATTGTTAGTCAATTTATGCATAATCCTTGTGAACAACATATGAATGCTGTCATGCATATATTGAGGTATTTAAAATCTGCTCCTGGGAAGGGGGTTTTGTTCACTAAAAATGGAGCACATGAAGACATAGATGTTTATACAGATGCTGATTGGGCTGGAGCGCTAGATGATAGACGATCAACATCTGGATACTTCTCATTTGTGGGTGGAAATCTTGTTACGTGGAGAAGTAAAAAGCAAAATGTCGTCGCCCGCTCAAGTGCAGAAGCTGAATTCAGAGGTATGGCACTCGGTTTATGCGAAGCCTTATGGTTGAAACATCTTCTAGAAGATTTGGGCTTTCCGCAAAGGCAACCAATTAATCTTTATTGTGATAACAAAGCTGCATGTGATATTGCTCATAATCCAGTTCAACACGATCGAACAAAGCATGTTGAGGTGGACAGATTTTTTATCAAAGAGAAATTAGATGCAAAGATTTTGGAGCTGCCTAAGATTCGATCGGAAGATCAATTAGCCGACATGCTTACTAAAGCTGTCTCAAGCAAAGTATTCTTGAAGTATCTCCACAAGTTGGGCATGGACGATATATATGCACCAACTTGAGGGGAAGTGTTGAGATTTTATCTCCATATTTTTCTCTATAATGACAGTAGATCAAGGGATTGTGCAGCTGTATGCTTTTATTATTTCTCCTTATTTAGAGTTCTTGATATGGAAATTCTCTCCTAATTTGTAGCTCCATTTATAGTATAAATACAAGGTGTATATACTCATCTAAATCAATTGAGTGAGTATCAATAATAATATACTTTCTTCTTTCAAGTCTTTATTATGTAAGACATTCAAAAATAATATTTTAGTAGTTCAAATATATGTTGTTGATATAATATTTCAGTATCCTATCATTGTTTAACTATAGCTTTCCACATTTTCCAAAGAATATAATAATGGTTCCTTTTTGTAACACATGGAACAATTTAAAAATATGTACTCTATTATCTTATTATAAACACTTGCATATTTATTTTAAAAAAATCAATAAATACAATAAATTTATTTTATTTATTAATCTTTCAATAGTTTTATATGTATATTAATATCTATAATTTTTAATTTAAATATTAATTTGTCTTACTATCATAATTAAAATGAATTGATGAATTTATCCATCTTTCTCATAAATATTAAATATATAATAAAATGTATTAAATAAAATTTATGCAATTTAAATTAATATTTATCTAATATTTATAATTTATGCATTCATATGTGATAAAAGATTACATGTCTTAAACCTATTTTTAAAACAGTATTCTTTATTCTTTATATATTAAATTGTGTTTTAGTGATAATCTAAATTCTGTTTTAATTTAGATGTATTTGGTGTATTTTAATTATATTTAATTAATTCAATCAGTCCAATAAAAAATCACAAATCGAACTGGATCAGATTGAAAATCGTAAAAACCACATTTAGTTAGAATCAGTTTGGACTATTTTACGACAGAACTGCACAGTTCGGTTTTATTTACAGTTTATATGTTTAAATCGGTCCAAACCAAATCAAACCGCAATTTCTTATAAATAAACTCATATATTTAACTTTACTGCCCATATTATTATATAGCCCAACCCAAAATTTGGACACAAAAAAAGATTCTAAACACCCGGCCTGCTGTAATTCTACTAATACCATTACACTGTTAGGATTGAGAAATGAGATTCCAAACATTGTTATTCTATCTTTTGATTCTATTCATCTCTCTTTCTGTAACAAACATGGCTTTTGATAATGATAAAGAAGTCAATGTTTCTTATGCATGGTCGAAAATCAGGTAATTTTGGGTATTATTATTGTTTTGAATGCCCTTTAATAACATTAATTAGGTTAGTCTCTTCAATATTTGATTTTGTGTTAGTCATAGATGGATGTTTAATGTTAAAATTCAGCATACTTTATATAAAAGGAAATCCCTCTAAATTGTTGTTCAGAAAAAGTTGGGAGGAGCACATATACAAATTTCTCACATGGAATAGCAGTTAAGATTTAATAGATTTTCACTATGTATGATGAGTGTACCTTAAAACACATATATATATATATATATATATATATATATATATATATATATATATATATATATATATATATATATATATATATATATATATATATATATATATATATATATATATATATATATATATATATATCAGACGCTTCAGCCGCTATCGTGGCGTACTGTCTCCCGTGCAATATGCAGGGTGCGGTGGCGGAGATGGAAAAGCGACCGTTTCACCCGTGTTACCGGGGCGCGAGTCGCGGGATTTTCCCGAATAGAGTGGCAACTCCGGTTTTCCTTTTTTTAAAATATTTTTTTAGGTAAAATTGAAGAAGAGGGAGTCTAGACAAAATCAAAGAAGAAGAAGAAGTTGTGAAGGAGAATAAGGTGTATCGGAAATAGAAGAAGAATAGAAAAGAAAGAAGGGGAAGAAGCAGAGATAGAGAAACATAAAACTTTATTATTATTTTATAAATGTAGTTGTACAGCTGTAGAGTTAACATAAAACTTTATTATTATTTTTATAAGAATAGGTAGAGATAGTATTATTAATTTTAAATATTGTACAACTGTATAACATAATACATCAGAATAAGTTGTTTATAAATGGATTAATGGAGCAACAAGTAATACCAAATTATTATTATTATTTTATTAATTTGATTTTTATAAAAGGGTTATTTTTTTATAAATTATTTATATTATTTATATATTTAGTCAAACATGATCAATTATAAAAAATCAACAAAATATATCTCACTATCCAGATCCCGCTATTTCCACTTTTTTTCATTTCTGAAGACCGTCCGCTCTGCTCCACTATTCAAGATTAATAACTGGTATATCTGAGAGACAATAGTCAGCATATCATTCTTACGTACCAAAATCTTAAGGAAAGTCCACTTGCTACACAAATGATATTATTAATTGTTACAAATTTAATCAGTAAATCACACAACGAAATACAACCCTCAAGTGTCATAATAATTAATTTGTTTATATTTCCTTCAAACTTCAATTTTCTGTAAGTTCTTTAATAATTTATTTTGTTTATATTGGATAACAGTGTGTCTATTATGTCTTTGCAGTCTCAAAATAATCCACTGATGCCAACAATAAAATAAGAGACTTTCTCCAGGCTCTGATACCATGTTGGGTTCTCTCACTTAAGATGATTGTTGTATGGGTTCTCTCACTTATATAATACTTAAGTCTCCACATTCTTATGTAATACTTAAGTCTCCACATTCTTATCTAATGTGATATTATTTCCTCACTTACTCAAATTTACTATATTATTCTAACAAAAACTTGTCTTTTAATATAATTTTTGAAGAGAAACCAATCGATAAGATATACATTGAGATAAAGAGTGTTTATTTGCAAATCGATGTTAAATGACTATTACATTATGTATAAGCTATTATCTCAATATACTAGATATGTTGCAAATTATTTTTTTTGTCTTAAAAATGGCCTATGACATAAAGAGTATGGATTCAAGATAACTTTTGTTTTACCTATCTAGAGGATTTTTGCCTTGAATTCAGGTATTTTCATAAACATTAAAAGATAAACCTGCAGTAAATCCTAATTTATATGCCTATTTTGTTTTATTTAACTTCTTCGTTAAAATATAGTTAAAATTTTAATTGTACTGTTGAACATGTTTTAAAAGCCATGCCATTTGTGGATACATAAAAGAAGCACAAAACTTCATCTGAGTAATGCCAAAGAGATTTGAATATGGATTAACTTCCTTCACACTTTAGTAGTTCTACACCAAGATAGAATATGCAGAACAAAATATAGAGCACAGCCCCAACATGATTTAAGATCTTTATTCATCAAACTATGAATTGCATCTTTGCATAGTGAAGATTTTAGCTGACATAGACATACCTATAGCTGTTTAGATAATCATCATCGAGTTCCTTGGGAAGTTCACAGGACAGTGATTCAACGACGCTATGTCAAATTTATAGATAGTCATCATCACGACTATCTGAATTCAAGATCACAACATGCATGTTTCAACAAGAGCTTATAGGATTATGAAATTCACCAAATTTGAAGTGCAATGCATACAACAAAAGTGATATCTATATAATATCAAGAACATAGATACAAGTTAGATATCTTTTACAAATCTAGCCCTTCTTACTTTTTTTTTCTGTGGATTAGAATCTGATAACTCCTTAGTAACATCTGTCATTTTTGGCCTCTTGTGTGGATCATTCTCAACACATCTCAAAGCTACCATAAGAACTTCGGTAACATTTTCCATTATATTGGTATCTAGACACTCATTTGCAAGGCTTGAATCAACAATTTGACTAATTTCTTCTGTTTCACTCCACAACAATCTAACCCAACTCACTAAATCAGTACCCTCCGTAAACGATGGATCGACTACCTTCTTTCTCGTTATCAGCTCAAGTAAAACTACTCCATAGCTGTACACATCACACTCCCTACTACTTACTGTTGTATAAGCATTCTCTGTCAAAGGCCAATATAAACAAATATGTTACTTAACCTAATGAAATTTTGCGAAGATAAAATTCAAATCACTAGTTAGTTAGTTAGTTACCTGGTGCAATATAACCGATTGTGCCAGGCACAGATAACGAAGAATTCGATGTAGAGGACTGGTCCAAAACTTTGGCAATACCAAAGTCTGCAATGTGAGGCTCCATATCCGAGTCTAGAAGTATGTTGTTTGGTTTGATGTCTCGGTGCACTATGGGAGGATCGCAGTCATAATGGAGGTAAGTCAATCCATGAGCAATTCCAATAGCTATCTTATACCGAACGTTCCACTCTAAAGACGGTGCTGGCTCCTTTTCATGCAAGACATCATAGAGGCTTCCATTTGGCATGTAGCTATACAAAATTAGACCATAATCTTGTCTCAACCAAAAGTTTTCCAATTTCACAAGATTTCGATGCTTAATTTGTCCAAGGGTTTGAATTTCTCTAACCATGCTCAAGTTCTTACCTTTGCTAGCAGCAAATGCTAGCTTCTTTACGGCAAAAGCTTTGTCTTGGCTTACACGGGCTTTATAAACAACTCCATGGGCTCCTCTTCCGATAATATACCGATCACTTAGGTTCGATGTAGCCTCCATAACTTTGTTAAGAAGGGACGAAGTACCTCCATTATCAGTAATATGGACTTGCTGCGTAGATTTTCTGCCATAAGCAAAGATATAAACTAACACCATCAACAGCAAAACAATAAATATTGCGGATCCTACCGCTATCATCACAATTGCAATTTTACCGAGGCCTTTGTTATTCATAGGTTTGTTGTTGTTACATGGGTTTACATGGCTGCTTTCGTTGCAAACCAAGCCACTGGATGGTGAACAACTGATACATAGCCCGGGATTCCCCGAAAATGATGACAGTTGAGAATTAAACCGCTTCATGAGCATCTTCGGTATGGGACCCTGAAAAGAATTGTTCAAAAGATTGATTTCGACTAACGAAAGGAGTTCGTCAAGAACTTGTATGCTTCCTGTCAAATTGTTCCGAGAAAGATCCATCATTTGTAGACTTTTCAGTTTTCCAATTTCCACAGGTATGTCTCCTATCAGGCCATTAGAACTTAGATTCAACCCGTAGATCAAATTCTGCAACGTCCCAACCGAGGTAGGAATTTCCCCTCCAAACATATTTCCGCCAAGCTGTAGTTCAGAAAGATCTTTAAAAGCCGACAAGAACTCTGGAATGCCGCCACTAAAACGATTCTCATTCAAAAGTAGTGTGTTTAGCCTTGTCCACTTCTGCAAACTCGACGGCAATGAACCATTCAGGAAGTTAAATCCCACATCAAACTTGTCCATTTTGGTACAGTTTGAGAGCTGAAAAGGTAAAGGACCTTCTAAGTTATTATGACTGAAATCCAGCGTCCGAAGATTAACAAGTCTTCCCAACTCCGGTGGTATACGGCCGCTAAGTTTGTTCGCGGACAACATTAAATCCGTGAGATTCGTGCAGTTTCCTAAACTGGATGGAATTGACCCGTTGATTTCGTTGTTGCTGATCTCCATGTATAACAGATTTGTATTCCTTTCAAAATCAGGAAGAGGCCCAGTAAATTTGTTTTGTTTAAGAATGATCCTTCTTAGAGTTGTGCATCTTCCAACATCAGGAGGTATTCTTCCTCGAAATCGATTGATTCCCATATTCAAAACACTCAAGTTTCTTCCAAAACAAAGATTTGGTGGCAGGTTGCCAGTGAACCTATTGTTTACAAAGTCCAACTGCACCAAACTGCTGTTAATTCCCAAGCTTTGAGGTATAACTCCAGAGAACATGTTATTAAACAATGAAATGTTCTTAAGGTTCTTGAGCTCTGTCATCTCCACAGGAAGTTCACCAGAAAGGCTATTATTATACACAAACAGATGCTCGAGATGTCGAATCTTCCACATCTCAAGCGGAATTTCTCCACTCAATTGATTAGAAAACAGTTCAAGGTCGCGTAACTCGCCGAGTTTTCCCATTTCACTCGGAATGTTTCCATCAAGTCGATTGGAGTACAAATGCAACTCCTTCAAAGACTCACAGTTACCTATTTCAGAAGGTATTTTACCAGACAAATGATTCTCGGAAAGGCGAAGAATTGAAAGCTCGGTGAGCAGACCAATGGAAGATGGAATAGTTCCAACCAAGTTAGATTTCACAGCAGCAAATTGTGATAAAGCAGTACAATTACCAATGCTATATGGAATGCCACTACCAAAATCATTGAATGAGATATCCAAAAACTGTAAATTTCTACAACCAGAAAAACACAATGGAATAGCACCTGTTAGTTTATTGTTGGCAACATCAAAGTTAAGAAGATGATTGAGATTGTTGAGGCTGTAAGGAAGAAGACCCTCCAATTGATTATAATTCAAATACAAGTCTTGTAACTGAGTACAGTTCCCAATAGATGAAGGAATTGCACCAGAGAAGTTGTTAAACTGGAGGTACAATTCTTGGAGATGAGTCATGTTGGCAATAGTAGTTGAAATGGAACCGTGAAGTTGGTTGTAAGAGAGATCAAGAAGCTTGAGGTGAGGGATTTGAGACAAGAAATGAGGGAATGGAGCTGTGAGAAGATTTACAGAAAGATCAAGATATTTGAGATTGTGAAGGTTAGTGAAAGAGTAAGGTATTTGGCCATTGAAATAGTTGTAACTAAGGTCTAAGTGTTGGAGTTGTGTGCAGTTTGCGATTTCAGGTCCTAGTTGACCGTAAATATCAAGATAGGAAAGGTTGAGAGAGATAACACGGTGGAAAGAGTTGCATTTGAGACCAGCCCATGAACATGGTGTTGAATGAGATGGAATCCATGTTGAGTTTATAAGAGGTGGAAGTGATGTCCAGTGAGATTTGAATGATAAAAGTGCTAAGCCATCTGAGTTGAGAGTAGCAGAAAGAGTATAGAATTGGAAGAAGACATGAAAGAAGAGAAGAGAAGAGTGAAGTTTCATGGAGAGAAGAAAAAGTTGGTACCTTGGTTGAAGATGAGTTGAAAAGGTTGTACTAGTTTCAAGCGGTGTGTTGTGTTATGTTGTATTGATGATGTTTGGTCATTGCTTATTTATATATGTGTCAGTTCTAAGTTCACACTTGGAGCATTCAGTTTACCTGTTCATGTCATGTCATCATTGACTGTTTTGTCTTCCATTCACATTCAACATTTTTTTATATATCGAAACAAAGAGAAGTTAGGTGGTTTTGGATTTCTTTGAATGTTGGTTTTTTAAGTTTATTAGGTAAAGAAAGAGTTGTTGTGGAAAAAACTATACTATTATAGAAAGACTTGTGACAGTGTGTACTACACTTTAGTTTAAAAAGTTGTGGATGTTAACTTTAGTGGCCTAGGTACAAACTTCAACGAAGTGGATTTATGAAGAAAAATTCAATCTATTAATCTAAACTATACATTGGACATTCTTCCTCCATTGTTCTAAATTGTATACATTACTAGGTAAAAAATTTGAAGGTATGAAATTATAGACTTGATAATCTTGAAATGGAACTTTATCAAGCACGGAAGCAAAATCAGTGGCTTTTGCCTGTCTTTGATGTTTTACACGAGTTTGAATAGTATTGAAGTATAAAGAGTAAAACATTTGAATAAATTGTGTGTTTAAAAGATATTACAGAGACTGTATTATACATTGAAATATTACAACTAATTACATGTTATAGTCGATGTGTAACTATTTTATATACAAATATTCTTAATATTGTCCCTCAAGTTGGATCATATATGTCATATGAGCCGAGTTTGTTACAAATGTAATCTAGTCGAGAACCCCTAAGAGACTTTGTAAATATATCATCCAATGGTCTTCGGATTTTACGAAATATATGGTGATTTCTCCTGATAGTAGTTTGTCTCTTACATAATGACAATCTATTTCTATTTGCTTTTTTCGTTCATGGAAAACCGAATTAGATGCAATGTGAAGTGTTGCTTAATTATCGCATATGAGTTTTGTATTATGAAGATCTTCTATCCTAAGTTATGAGTGTTAATGTTTCATCCATGCAAGCTGTAACGCCCGTAATTTAATTAATTATTTAATTAAATTATTTTTGGAATATTTGTGAAGATGTGTTATGATTAATTAGATTTAATTATTTTATTAAGTGGTGAAATAATATTAGAAGTATAATATTATTTGATGTGAGCTTGTTTTAAAGGATAGAAGTAGTAATAAGGGGGGTGTATTAGTTTTAAGCCTATTAAGGCATAAAGAGAATAATAGGTCATTTTATTATTGTGGAAATAACAAGAAAGAAGAAGCAGTAAGAAGAATAAGAGTTGGAAAGAAGAACATGAAGCTGTTAGAAAAGAGGAAAACGGTAGAACGAGAATTCAACCGGAAGTTATAGAGCGACCTTCAATCCAAGGTAAGGATGGGGTTCTGATTCTATAATAGGGTTTGTGATAATTGGTATGTGGGGTTAGAGGTGAAATATTGTTTTGTTCATGATTGAATTATATATGATGTTGTATGACGAGAATTGATGATTGAAAGATGAACGATGATGTCCCGGTGCTGTTTATTTGATGTAGAATTATAGGATAACTGTAAATGATGATTATCTATGATTAGATTAGGTTTTTAGGGCTTAAAGTATGGAACCCGTAGTGAAAATGCTGAGAAAATTGCAGAAATTACCCATGACAGAGCAGTATGTATCGACCCCAAATGGTATGTGTCGATACAAGAAGGTCTTTAGACTCAGGATGAGTCGACACGAAAGAGTCATGTGTCGATCCATGAGGGTTTTTAGACTCAGGATGAGTCGACACGAAGGAGCATGTATCGATACATGCAGTGTGACAGACTCAGTATGAGTTGATACAAGGGAGTAATGCGTCGACTCGTGTGGCGTGTTAAACTCAGTACGCGTCGATCCAAGACGATATGTGTAGATCCGTGTTGCCTGGTTTTCGGTAGAATCAGTTTAAGAATGCTGTAACTTGAGTTTTCGGACTCTGTTTGAGGTACCGTTTGAAGCGTTGAATGGATAACACAATTAACTTCACTCTTAAGGATTAAAACAAAGAATAGGAAGGATAACCCTAGTATCCAAATTAGGATTAGAGTTAGTTCCCGCGGTAATCTCTATGTTGGTTTTTGTGAAGAAGGATGAGGATGAGACGTTTATGGAGTACTATCTGGTTTGTAACAGTAGGATTAATGATAATAATGATGTAATATTACAAAATAGTAGTATGTAGAGATTTGGTGATTTAAAAGTAAGCCTTAGTTGATTAACTAATTATAGGCAATATCTTGTATAGGCCTATGGCCAACATTGTGAAATTGATGAGTTACTGTCGTATTACTGTATGGCTGAATTGTTGATGAGATGATGTTAATGAGAGTTTGCTTTGATGAATTATGATGTATAAATGATGTTTGATGATAAATGATGTCGACGAATGATTTTTATGAAGAGATGTTGAGATGCTTTTAAGATGTAGGCCTTTGGCCAACGGTGGTGTTATATTGAGATGTTGTCAATTATGGTGTTGTTATTACATTCATGATTGTGTCGCATACATTGCATTTTGAATGGAGCTTATGCTCATTGAGATGGCTTGTATTGGCAAATATTGAGATGAAGGCGTATGCCTTGTTGATGCCTCTATTAATTGGCAATTTTTGAGATGGGAATTCTGCTCCAATGGTACCACATGCATTTGCATAGTATTGAGTCGTATTATTTGATTGCATAAATAGGTTGTACATCGAAGTGGCATATGTGTAGATTGTTGATATTCTGTTACGATGTTTGCTGTTTGTAATATGAGAAATGGTGATGTTATGTGATCTAATTTAATATATTAATTATCATGGGCTTTATTATATTGTTAGATATCTCACCCCTTCTGTTTGAATATTACCCTTACGTTGGTAACGTGCAGGTAATCGAGAGTGAAGGTTGTATACCTTCAGTAGTTCGAGTCGGTGTCATTGCTCTGATATGTAACACTCGGGGATGATGAACGCTTGTTGCTTTTGATTGTTGATTATTCCGTTGTTGAACTTTAAGTTGATTATTATTAAGTATGTGTTGTTTTGAAGTTGCTGTAACAATGATAAAGATGTTATTAATAATTCTGCTGCGTAGATGTTAAATTGTTGAATTATTTAATTAACGTATTATGCTGATGGTTCATCCTAATTTTTAAAGTGTTATGTATCCACGATGAATGAAATGAGTTTTTAATGATGAATTTGTGGCATCCTGATTCGTTTGCATGAATAATTTTATAACTCTAATTTATTTATATAATTATCGGGATAGAATTGAGGTGTTACAAAGTTGGTATTAGAGCAAAAGGTTGGTCCGACCTTGTCGTTGAGTCGTAGTTGTCTAATAATCGAGTATTGTTAATTTGAGTTCTAACTGTTGTTTATGTTATAGTGATAAGTTGAGATGGCTGGAAGGAATGATGTTGCACTTGCTGCTACTTTAGAAGCAATGTCTCATACGATGGAGAATCAACCGAATGCTTTTGCAGATGACAAATATTTTGTTCTATTCCGCTCATTCATTTGGCGGATACTTTGTGCCAACAATGAAATTTATTTAAAAACATGGTAGTTTAGAATTATTGAGTGAGGAGGATGGTATAATGGGAATTGTTGTGTAAAAACATGGCAGGAGAGTAACAAATTCAAAAATTATAGTTCACGACACATTGACACAATTCGTATTTATTTATTTAACTATTTATTTTTTCAAAGTAAGTTTTTCTAAGTAAAGTAAATATGTGTGTAGTTTAGTGGTGAAAGTTTAGATTTTGAGGGTGTGCTCTCTTCAATATTTCAGATTGGAATCTTCATATATATATATATATATATATATATATATATATATATATATATATATATATATATATATATATATATATATATATATATATATATATATATATATATATATATATATATATATATAAGAAATGGTGAATGGAAAAAAAACAGTCAAAAGGACCAGGTTTGCGACTGCAGAGAATCCGTCTTGCAAAAGATGACATAGCATGGCATGACATAAAAAGGTGAATGTGAATTCTTCAAGTGTGAACTCAGGACTGACAAACATATTAATAAGCAATGACCAAATAGGTTTTTCCTTGTGAATAGTCACAAAATCAACAACATAGGGGATGATACTAAATATTATTATTTTTAACGGTAAATCGTTAATATTTGATGATTGTATTTCCGCTGTCATTTTAAAAAAATCAATGCAACATAACGCAACACAACGCTTCAAACTAGTACAACCTTTTCAACTCATCTTCAACCAAGGTACCAACTTTTTCTTCTCTCAATGAAACTTCACTCTTCTCTTCTCTTTTTCTCTTTCCATTTCTACACTCTTTCTTCTACACTCAACTCAGATGGCTTAGCACTTTTATCATTCAAATCTCACTGGACATCACTTCCACCTCTCATAAACTCAACATGGATTCCATCTCATTCAACACCATGTTCATGGGCTGGTCTGAAATGCAACTCTTTCCACCGTGTAATCTCTCTTAACCTTTCCTATCTTGATATTTACAGTCAACTAGGACCTGAAATTGCAAACAGCACACAACTCCAACACTTAGACCTTAGTTACAACTACTTCAATGGCCAAATACCTTACTATTTCACTAACCTTCACAAACTCAAATATCTTGATCTTTCTGTTAATCTTCTCAATGCTCTATTCTCTCATTTCTTGTCTCAAATCCCTCACCTCTGTTGGTGCAAGATAATGAAGTGGGAGAAGAAGAATGAACAAAAATGATAACAAGACTACTATTGTATATCAAAAAAGAGGAGATAAAATTGGATAAAATATTGATAGACTAGTATAGCATATTTATACTAAATATTGAAAATGCCAAAAGGCCCTATTAAATAATAAGCATTGGGAATTGTAGACATTAACTAAATTATATTTTCAATATCATCCCTTAATTTAGATATTCTATCAGAAGCTAACAACATCAATTTCATCTCTCAAGTGAAGAAATTGATATGTCTTAACTGCCTTCGTCAGAAGATCTGCTAGTTGTTTCTGATTGCTGCAGTGCAGAACTTCTAACACTCCTTTCTGTACTTGACTTATGAGAAAATGATACTTCGTCTCAATGTGTTTGCTTCTTTCATGTAGCACTGGATTCTTGGCAAGATCAATTGCAGACTTATTATCAATCATTAGCTTCAGAGGTTCCTCAACTTCAACCTTCATATCGTGTAAGAGATTCAGAAGCCAAACATCTTGACAAACAGCTACAACACCTGCGATATACTCAGCTTCACATGTTGATAGAGCCACGACAGACTGTTTCTTGGAACTCCAGGAAATGGGACCTCCCATAAATTTAAACAAGTATCCAGAAGTACTTCTTCTGTCCACTCTGTCTCCACACCAGTCAGAATCAAAATAACTTACTAATTCTAGTTCTGTCTTTCTTTCAGAAGGAAACAACACTCCATATTTTAGGGTTCCCTTGATATATCTCAGAATTCTAACAACATCTTGGAAATGAGACCACTTTGGATTACTCATGAATCTGCTGACCAATCCAACTACATAACAAATATCAGGTCTAGTATTGCATAAATACCTTAGAGAACCAACCAACTGTTTGAAGGTTGTAGTATCAACATAATCACCATCAGAGTCAGAATCCAATTTTTGATTGGTTTCTGATGGTGTCACAACAACTTTGCAATTCTGCAGCTTAAATCTCTTCAGAAGTTCTAGTTCGTACTTCAACTGATGTAGAATGATACCTTTCTTCGAATACAGAATCTCCATCCCTAGGAAATATGTCATATTTCCTAGATCTGTCATCTCGAACTCATTCATCAGAACATTTTTGAACTTCTTTATATCTTCTGGACAACTACCTGTTAGCAAAATGTCATCAACATAGAGACACACCAGAATCATATTGTTGTCAGAGTGTTGTACATAAACGCCATATTCCATTTCACTTTTCTGAAACTTCTACTTCTTGAAAAACGAATTAATTTTCAGATTCCAAGCTCTGGGCACTTACTTTAGTCCATACAGAGCTTTATTCAACTTGTATACCATCCCTTCCTGATTCTTTTTCACAAATCCAGGAGGTTGTGACACATAAAATTCTTCCTGTAATAGACCGTTCAGAAATATAGACTTCACATTCAGATGCATTAAAGGCCAATTTCTATTTTCAGCTAAAGCAATCACCAGTCTGATTGTTTCATGCCTAGCTACAGGCGCAAACACCTCAAAATAATTTAGCCCAAATTTCTGAAGAAAACCTCTAGCTACTAGTCTAGCTTTGTGCTTGCCAATTGAACCATCTGGTTTAAGTTTCAGCTTAAAAACCCATCTGACACTGGTGGCTTTTTTCTTATCTAGATGTTTAGTCAATTTCCACGTTTTGTTCCTTTCTATTGCCTCAAGTTCTTCTTTCATGGCATTCAGCCATTCTTTCTTCTTGAGAGTTTCTTCGATGCCCACTGGTTCAGAATCTACTAACATGGCACACTGAACGACTTCTCCTTAAGAGTCAACTTCATTATCCTGCAACATGTCAAAATATGCAAACCTTCTTGGTTTTTGTCTGATTCTCTGTGGTCTTTGAGCTTGTTCTAAAGCTGCACTAGAGCTACTACCTTCAGAGTTACCACCTTCAGAGTTTTCCCTTCTAGAACTATGATCACCACCAGATTCTGGATTATCATTAGCATCTGGATCAGAATCAGATCCATTGTCAGAATCTTCTTCTGACTCATTTTCAGAATCTTCAGAATCAGATTCATCTTCTGAACTTTCTAAAACATCTTCAGAGTCTAACTCTGGTGTTGGCACTACACCAGAATCTGATTGAGACTTGTTCAAATCCCATGTTTCAGATTCTTTCACCACAACGTCTCTGCTAACCTCAACTTTATTAGTTTCTGTACAATAAAGCTTATCCGCACCTGTACTGTGGTACCCCAACAACAACATTACTTTGCTTCTATCATCCAGTTTTTGTCTTCTAGCTTCTGGAACGTGTTTGTAACAGACATAGCCAAACACCTTCAGATGACTGACACTCTGCTTATCTCCAGTCCATTTTTCTAAAGGAACAACTTCCTTCAACTTCTTCATTGGACGCCTGTTCAGAATATATGCTGATGTGGCAACAGCTTCTCCCCACAGCACGTGAGGTAGCTTTTTTTCTTTCAGCATGCTTCTGGTTATATCAAGCAAAGTTCTGTTTCTTCTTTCAGCAAGACCATTGTGTTGAGGAGTATATGGAGCAGTAACCTCATGTTCTATTCCATTATCCTCACAGAACTTCTGGAAATCTGTAGAGTTATACTCACCTCCACCATTCGTTCTCAGAATCTTCAACTTCTGACCACTCTGCTTCTCAGTTTTCACTTTGAACTTCTGGAACTCAGTAAAAACTTCATGCTTGAACTTGATGAGTGTTACCCATGTCATTCTTGTGAACTCATCCACAAAAGACACAAAATATTTGTTTCTTCCAAGTGAAGGTACTGGAAATGGTCCACACACATCAGAATGTACTACTACCAGAGCATGCTTCGCTCTGGGGGCTACTTCTGATGCAAATGGAAATATGGGGTGCTTGCCTTTCATTCATATCTCACATGACTTCTTAGGCTTCACAGTCTTTGAAATACCATGTACAAGCTTCTTAGAACATAGATGCCCTAGGCTTCTATAGTTCAAATGCCCAATCTCTTATGCAACAACTTACTGTCACCTTCAGCGCCTTCTGCACTAAGACACGTTACTTCAGTTGTTTCTACATTCATCTTGAAAGTTCTGTTGCTTCCTTGTTCAGACTTCATAATCAACTTCTGATTGGAATCATACAACGTCAAGAGATTGTTTTTCATAACAATTGAAAAACCTTTCTCAATCAGCTGACCCACGCTCATCAGATTTCTTCTAATACCAGGAACATACCAAACGTCTTTGATCAGAATGTCTTTCCCATTCTTCACTCTAACTTTGACATCTCCCATACCTTCTGCATTAAGATACTTATCGTCAGCACATCTGATCTTTGTTCTCCTTTTGGAGTCAAAGTCTGTCAGCCATTTTTTGTTTCCAGTTAAGTGATTTAAACAACCAGTGTCCATATACCACCAATCTTCTGAGCATTTTCCATCAGAATTAGAAGCCATTAGTAGCACAGGTTCATCATCAGAGTTTCTCTTAGCCATATACGCTTCTTCTGATTTCCTTTCCTTGTTTTACCTACAATCTCTGACAAAATGGTCAAATTGTTTACAAGAGTAACATTGAACCTTTCTTTTGTCATACCTCTCCTTTCCTTTATGATATCTCTTATCATCAGAAGTTGAGATTTCTGACTTATGGAATCAATGACCACGTTTATTCTGCTTCTGGTCTTTCTTGACAAAAGAAGCCTTCAGAGCTTGCTCAGCTTCCCTTTCAGAAGTTCTCTCAGACAGACGTAACTCATGTGCTTCTAAACTTCTCATGGTTTCCAGATCTTTAAAATGTTCAATAGAAACAACAATGTAATCAAACTGAGGAGTAAGCGACCTCAGAATCTTCTCTATGATTACCTGTTCAGACAGAGTTTCTGCACACGCCTTCATCTTGTTAGTGATCATAATCAATCTGGAGATATATTTAGAAATTTTCTCACTGTTCTTCATGTTCAAGTTCTCATATTGCTTTCGCAGGGATTGAAGCTTCACCTTCTTTACTGATACATCACCACCGTAACATCTCACCAGTAAATCCCACACCCCTTTTGACGTTGTTGAATCAACAATCTTCTCGAACACACTTTCATCCACACACTGATGGATATAGAACAGAGTTTTCTGGTCCCTCTTCCTCATAACCCTCTCAGCAGTTCTCTGTTCTTCAGTTGCATCTGCTGCAGCTGGTACATAACCATCTGTAACCAGATCCAGAACATCTTGCGCACCAAACAGCACACGCATTTGTATCATCCATCTGTTCCAGTTTTTGCCATTAAAAATTGGGAGTTTGGTGTTCAAACTACTGTCTCCACTCATTTTAAACCTTGCAGAAATTTTTTAGATCTTCACACACACTGTTTCCCAACCTACAGAATCAGATTCTGTTCAGATTTTATTCAAGATTTCAACAGAAAATCAATGAACCAAAATCAAACACACAGCAGAAAAACACTCGTGTTTTCCATAAAAAAATAGAACCAAGTGTTCTAAATACCAATTTGTTGGTGCAAGGTAATGAAGTGGGAGAATAAGAATAAACAAAAATGATAACAAGACTACTGTTGTATATAAAAAAAGAGGAGATAAAAATGGATACAATATTGATAGACTAATATAACATATTTATACTAAATATTGAAAATGCCAAAAGACCCCTATTAAAGAATAAGCATAGAATTGTAAACATTAACTAAATTATATTTCCAATAACCTTGATCTCTCTTACAACCAACTTCCCGGTTCCATTTCAACTACTATTGCCAACATGACTCATCTCCAAGAATTGTACCTCCAGTTTAACAACTTCTCTGGTGCAATTCCTTCATCTATTGGGAACTGTACTCAGTTACAAGACTTGTATTTGAATGATAATCAGTTGGAGGGTGTTCTTCCTTACAGTCTTAACAATCTCAATCATCTTCTTAACTTTGATATTGCCAACAATAAACTAACAGGTGCTATTCCATTGTGTTTTTCTGGTTGTAGAAATTTACAGTTTTTGGATATCTCATTCAATGATTTTGGTAGTGGCATTCCATATAGCATTGGTAATTGTACTGCTTTATCACAATTTGCTGCTGTGAAATCTAACTTGGTTGGAACTATTCCATCTTCCATTGGTCTGCTCACCGAGCTTTCAATTCTTAAACCTTTCCGAGAATCATTTGTCTGGTAAAATACCTCCTGAAATAGGTAACTGTGAGTCTTTGACTGAGTTGCATTTGTATTCTCATCGACTTGATGGAAACATTCCAAGTGAATTGGGGAAACTCGGCGAATTACGCGACCTTGAACTGTTTTCTAATCAATTGAGTGGAGAAATTCCGCTTGAGATATGGAAGATTCGACGTCTCGAGCATCTGTTTGTGTATAATAATAGCCTTTCTGGTGAACTTCCTGTGGAGATGACAGAGCTCAAGAACCTTAAGAACATTTCATTGTTTAACAACATGTTCTCTGGAGTTATACCTCAAAGCATGGGAATTAACAGCAGTTTGGTGCAGTTGGACTTTGTAAACAATAGTTTCACTGGCAACCTGCCACCAAATCTAGGTTTTGGAAGAAACTTGAGTGTTCTGAATATGAGAATCAATCGGCTTCGAGGAAGAATACCTCCTGATGTTGGAAGATGCACAACTCTAAGAAGGGTCCTTCTTAAACAAAACAAATTTACCGGGCCTCTTCCTGATTTTGAAAGGAATGTCAATCTATTATACATAGAGATCAGCAACAATGAAATCAACGGGTCAATTCCATCTAGTTTAGGCAACTGCACGAATCTCACGGGTTTAATGTTGTCCACGAACAAACTTAGCGGCCGTGTACCACCGGAGTTGGGAAGACTTGTTAATCTTCAGACGCTGGATTTTGGTCATAATAACTTAGAAGGTCCTTTACCTTTTCAGCTCTCAAACTGTACCAAAATGGACAAGTTTGATGCGGGATTTAACTTCCTGAATGGTTCATTGCCGTCAAGTTTGCAGAAGTGGACAAGGCTAAACACACTACTTTTGAATGAGGGCGGGCATTCCAGAGTTCTTGTTGGATTTTAAAGATCTTTCTGTACTACAGCTTGGCAGAAATATGTTAACAAGCAAAATAAGCCCTACCAATAAAGGATTCATTTGAATGAGTTTTGAAGTGAAAACCGAACAGATTCAATCAACTCAATAGTTCACAATTGAACATAATATTTCACGATTTGAATAGGAATTTTGACAACGATCCACTCCCTCCACCTGACTAAAAAAAAGGGGAAAATTGGTAAATACATTCTTCACTTTGACATAAATTTTTTCAGAACTTCTCTAAAGATGATATGATGGTTGTGTATGTTGAATATATATTATGTTACGGTCTAAATATGATATGATTGCTATATGTTGAATATACAGCATGTTACAAGTTTTAGGAAGAAGGTATGTTAAGCATCATAGCTTACAAATAGTGGAGAGGACATAAACTCATACTCGACTTCTAATGAGGATCTAGAGAGAATATGTTGCCTCTTTAGTTTTCAAGAAATGAGGTGATTGCCAAGAAAGATGCATAACCATTAACTGATTTTCATTTATGTTGGTTTTTTGTCCATAAGCCTTAAGCTGGAGAAGATTCAAGTTACTTTAAAACATGGACGGTTGCTTCATAGCTAACGGAAGTAGGTGATTCATGTTTAGGCTGAGTTGTGACATTGCATACCAGATGTTATGCTGCTAGTCCGAATGTACACTAGATCTTTGTTATGCACTCGAGGCGGGAACAACAGGAAACAAAACTGGCGGTGACAATTCAGGTCATTCAGATGCATAGCCATAGATATTCATTTTGTCAGAGGTCATGTTCGCAATAATAAGATTCGGCTTCAACATGTTTCAATTAAGGATCAACTCGCAGATTGTCTTACTAAACCCTTGTTCAGGCAGCGCCAATAAGATCTTCGATTCAAGATAGGAGTATCTGACGGTACCCCTATCTTGCAGGACAGGTTACAGAGTCAAAACATTTAATTTAAGAGTTACTCTAGGATCAAGCATTCAAGATGAGAGTAATTATGGGATCAAGAAATCAAATCAAATTGTAACTAATTAGAGGAAATTAAACAATAACAGTAGGAAGCAATTATTATGACAGCAAATTTGTTTCCATATATTGTACCAATATACCTTGTGAATAATACAAGCCAAAACATTATTCCTTATATATAGCCATCACGTAATATATTGGGAGATACAAAAACTATAAAGCTTATTCTTCTCATGGTCAAATGTTTCTCCTTCAAACATAGAAGATTTGATTGAGTAAGAAATATTTCTTTTCTAATTTTAAAATATTTTGAAATATAAGTTAGGATTAGTAACAATCTAGTTATACTTACGACCTCTAAAGCATTGATAGAAGATGATGACAAGTTAGTATCAGCGTCACTGTCTGTCACGTCTGATGACACTGCATTGATAGAAGATAATGACAAATTAGTATCAATGTAAAATTAGTATCAGCGTCAATGTCGCATCTGATAACTGAATCACTGTTTATCTGAATTAGTGTCACTTTTTGTCTGAATAAGTGACAAGTGATAATGTTGTCTCTGATGACTAAATTAGTGTTAAATGTGGTATCTAAGGACTAAGTTAACTGATGACTAAATAAGTGTCAATGTGGCATCTGATGACTAAATTAGTGTCAATTTGGTCGGTATGACTTAGTTTGATTCCTTCGTCATTAGTGTGTGTAAGTCCAAACATGTCTTTTTCAAAGATAATTTACTCTTACATTGTTAAATGTTAAGGTGAAAAGTAAGAGTATAATAACATAGAAATCAAAAGTTAAAGGATTAAATGAGAATTAACAGTGATAAAAGTTAAAGGAAACTAAAAATGAAACAAAACGCGAGATGTTCCCCTTTTCTTGGAGTTGGTCTTTGGTTCAGCTCATACACCACACCACTAGTACACGAGATATTCCCCTTTTCTTCCAAATGTTAATACAGTTAAACTTTTTCACTTTGTTTACTCTAAGCTCATAGTCTGTAGTAACAGCTAACTTGAAGATTAATGCTTCTGACCTACTTCCATTGAAGTTGGAGGAGTTGAATTTGCTTCTGACATTTATGTTTGATATATAATTTGGAATATAGGAGAGATGTTTATATATAGGGTTACTCACTTAGCAATCCATACATATGCACAACTCATCAATGCACATCAAGTACAAAAGGCAGAACAATATGTGTTTACGAAGTAAATATTCAATGATTTATATAAATAGTGTGATTGACTAAATGATGCTCAAGCATATATAAGACACCAATATGTTCTACTTCTTCTATTTGTAAACTTCTCTCTGATTGAACTTGAGATTAGTAATTGGTTGGTGCTGTCATTATTTTCAAGGGATTTTTTATGCTTGCATTATTTACATGTATATAAAAATTACACACTGTGTAAAGAAACCAATTGTTCAAACTTGGCATAAGGATCCAGTCATGATGTGATATACACATGTTTCAAAAATAGGCCAGGAATATAATTTGGATCATAATACCATGTTTTTTAATGTCTGAAATAGTGAAACTATGGTTGTATAAAAAATTGTAATATGACTAAATTTTGAGTATATAAACACTCCTCTCATAAAAACACTTATGTTTAAATATATGCTTGAGTTTTGATATATGTTTGAGTTATGATACCTACACTGTTTGATTAGATAGATCCGAGATTGCAATGTAGTCGCGTCGTGTAGGTTAACTAGTCTTTGAAGTTACCGACAAGATAACTTTATTATTATTTTAATAATAAAACTTTATTATTAATTTGATTTTTATAAAAGGGTTATTTTTTTATAAATTATTTGTATTATTTATATATTTAGTCAAACATAGTCAATTATAAAAAATCAACAAAATATATCCCACTATCCAGATCTCACTATTTCCATTTCTGAAAATCGTCTGCTCTGCTCCACTATTCAAGATTAATAACTGGTATATCTAAAAGACAATAGTCAGCATATCATTCTTACGTACCAAAATCTTAAGGAAAGTCCACTTGCTACACAAATGATACTATTAATTGTTACAAATTTAATGAGTATAGCACACAACGAAATACAACCCTCAATTGTCATAATAATTTATTTTGTTTATATTTCCTTCAAACTTCAATTTTCTGTAAGTTCTTTAATAATTTATTTTGTTTATATTGGATAACAGTGTGTCTATTATGTCTTTGCAGTCTCAAAATAATCCACTGATGCCAACAACAAAATGAGAGACTTTCTCCATAGTATACCATGTTGGGTTCTCTTACTTAAGATGATAAATGTGTGGATTCTCTCACTTATATAATACTTAAGTCTCTATATTCTTATCTAATGTGATACTATTTCCTCACTTACTCAAATTTACTATATTATTCCAACAAAAAATTGTCTTTTAATATAGTTTTTGAAGTGAAACCAATCGATAAGATATATATTGAGATAAAGAGTGTTTATTTGCAAATCGGTGTTAAATGACTATTACATTATATATAAGCTATTATCTCAATATACTAGATATGTTGCAAATTGTTTTTTCTGTCTTAAAAATGGCCTATGACATAAAGAGTATGGATTCAAGATAACTTTTGTTTTACCTATCTAGAGGATTTTTGCCTTGAATTCAGGTATTTTCATAAACATTAAAAGATAAACCTGCAGTAAATCCTAATTTATATGCCTATTTTGTTTATTTAACTTCTTCCTTAAAATATAGTTAAAATTTTAATTATACTGTTGAACATGTTTTAGAAGCCATGCCATTTGTGGATACATAAAAGAAGCACAAAACTTCATCTGAGTAATGCCAAAGAGATTTGAATATGGATTAACTTCCTTCACACTTTAGTAGTTCTACACCAAGATAGAATATGCAGAACAAAATGTAGAAATGCTACGCACATACTGTCACGCCATAGCTGGTTATATCATCTTGAAGGCAGGCATCAAATGCAAACTGGAATGCTATTTGTCATCACGGATTTTGTACTCCCATAATGACCTGAATTATCACCCCCGGCTTTGTTTCCTGTTGTTCTAACACATTGTGTTTCCTCGTATTCGATACCTAAAGAAAAGTGCTAACGCATTGTGACAATAGTGTTGGACAGTGATTCAACGCTATGTCAAATTGATAGATAATCATCATCGAGTTCCTTGGGAAGTTCACAGGACAGTGATTCAACGACGCTGTGTCAAATTTATAGATAGTCATCATCACGACTATCTGAATTCAAGATCACAACATGCATGTTTCAACAAGAGCTTATAGGATTATGATATTCACCAAATTTGAAGTGCAATGCTTACAACAAAAGTGATATCTATATAATATCAAGAACATAGATACAAGTTAGATATCTTTTACAAATCTAGCCCTTCTTACTTTTTTTTTCTGTGGATTAGAATCTGATAACTGCTTAGTAACATCTGTCATTTTTGGCCTCTTGTGTGGATCATTCTCAACACATCTCAAAGCCACCATAAGAACTTCGGTAACATTTTCCATTATATTGGTATCTAGACACTCATTTGCAAGGCTTGAACCAACAATTTGACTAATTTCTTCTGTTTCACTCCACAACAATCTAACCCAACTCACTAAATCAGTACCCTCCGTAAACGATGGATCGACTACCTTCTTTCTCGTTATCAGCTCAAGTAAAACTACTCCATAGCTGTACACATCACACTCCCTACTACTTACTGTTGTATAAGCATTCTCTGACAAAGGCCAATATAAACAAATATGTTACTTAACCTAATGAAATTTTGCGAAGAAGATAAAATTCAAATCACTAGTTAGTTAGTTAGTTACCTGGTGCAATATAACCGATTGTGCCAGGCACAGATAACGAAGGATTCGATGTAGAGGACTGGTCCAAAACTTTGGCAATACCAAAGTCTGCAATGTGAGGCTCCATATCCGAGTCTAGAAGTATGTTGTTTGGTTTGATGTCTCGGTGCACTATGGGAGGATCGCAGTCATAATGGAGGTAATTCAATCCATGAG